TGAGCATAAATCAGTGCATTTAAAATGACCCTGAGAATGGTACCTGACATGGGGTACATTTGCTGCCTTTCAAATAGCGGAGAACCAGGGGCGCCTGGGTGGCTCAGTCGGTTAAGCATCTGACTTTGGCTCAGGTCATGATCTCGCGGTTTGTGAGTTCGAGCCCCATGTCAGGCTCTGAGCTGTCAGCACAGAGCGTAGAGCCTGCTTCGGGTTCTGTGTCTCCCCTGCTCATGCTGTCTGTCTCTTTTCTCTCAAAAATAAATAAACATAAAAAATTAAAAAAAAATAGTGGAGAACCAATGCACCTGAAAACCAAATTTATTATATCACTCTCTATTTACTCCTTAACTAATTCTGTCTATTGGTTATAGATGCTGGGGTATGAACTTCCTAAATAAAGAACGACTAACACCTGAATTTTCTCCCATCCTTTCAGCCACCCTGGCCGAGTGTCTGACCAAGGCAAGAACGCTGTATGTTAACTAACTTGAATTAAAAAAAAAAATTGGGTATCAAGATGGGGCAAGGTGGCAATGGATTTCAGACCCCACCACCTTCCTCACTGCCCCTCAGCACACCCTGTGTATTCCTGACCCTGAACTTTGTTCCACTCTCTACTCGGGGCCTTTCTATCTTTCATCCAGGCCAGCCTTCTGCATCATCTGGTTCTTTCCACCGGTATCATGGCCCATGCTGGTCGTGCTGGGTTCACAATTTCCATTACAGTCAAAATCCCTCTGTTTCACACATGATTGTTCTGTAGTTCTTTCACAGGTCTGTTTTGTCACTCCCAGACAGACTGTAAGTTCCTGAAGAACAGTAACCATGCTTTATATTTATTTCATTGACTGCCTGGAGCTCTTGGCACGGGGCAGATGCTTCATGGCAGCTCCCGAGTCAGCTGAGATATTCCTATGATACATCATACTGAATGTCACCCTTTGAAACTTACGACGTCCATGCTGTTATGCATTCAGTTAAATGAATACTAGAAGAAATACAGTATGACCCCAGTTTTGCTGTGTGTGTGTGTGTGTGTGTGTGTGTGTGTGTGTGTGTGTGTGTGACAAAGACACTAAAGACCAGGGAGACTGTGGCAAAATCTCCATGGTATTATCTCTGGGTACTAAAATTAGTCTGTAGTCCTTATTATGTATGCTCTTCAGCAATTTTGTAAACTACTTGTAAGGAAAACTTTATGGGAGGTAGATCTAGTATTAGGAATGAATGAGGCAATGAAATTGATAAGTAATTATTATTATCATAAGAAGCTCCGTACAGTGAAATGGAAAGTTGGCAATGAATTTGGCTGGGATGCCTACGATTCCTTGTGGGTCTGTTCCAGTGTCCCAAAGTGTGTTCCAAGGGGCACCATTCCTACCACAGGTGTTACGTTTAAATTATATGGGAAACACACGTTCTGTAGCTGTGGAAGTTCACGATGCGCATCAGCCCTGAATACTCCTTAAGCAAAGCAACCTGGTTCTGATCTATCTACCTAGTGTCCTCCAGGCTTTTCTGATCATGGAATCCTTTTTTTCTTATAATGCCTATTAACGTTGGGAAACATTGTTCTATCTTATTTTTAAAGAAGAGCCTGGATTGTAGTTTTGAATGTCTTTATTTTGCTTGTCTATTTTTTTAGGATTTTTTATTTTAATTAATCTCTACACCTAACGTGGGGCTCAAACTCACAACCCTGAGATCAAGAGTCGCACGCTCTACCAGCTTGCGTATTCTTAATATTCCTTTGGTTAAATGATCCAAAAGGCTTACAAAATTACGAGTATAACTTCTCATGGGGCGCCTGGGTGGCTCAGTTGGTTAAGTGTCCGACTTCGGCTCAGGTCAGGATCTCACTGTTCGTGGGTTCCGGGCCTGCGTCTGGCTCTGTGCTGACAGTTCAGAGCCTGAAGCCTTGTTCCGATTCTGTGTC